ACAGGACCACCGACCTGCATGCAATTGATCTAATTAATGTTGAATACATTTTAAATATTTATCTCAGAGCTTCTTATACTGTATGGCCATGTGGTGGCACTAACAGCTCAGAGAGGACTTAAGGCGTGTATTTAATGTGTAGTAATGTTAAGAAGTGGAATAAAGCAGCATTTGGTGTGACACAATCTTAAACATTGCTCCCCAGGACAATTTTTTGAATTGTATGGCTGGTGTGGTGAGGACTGACGCATGGAGTTTGTTTATACGAAGTATTAACTGTGACAGACACATAAGAAGGATGAGGCTTTTCCCCCCTTATCTCCACTTTGAGAAATTTGGATTCACACTGAGCTTTTAACTGCTGCTGCACTTATTTTGAGTAGAAACCAAGAAGTGGGAAATAGGGCCTCAGGAAATGCCCATTAAGTCGGACAAATAAGCAACATGAAGATAAAAGGTTTATACATGAATTAAAAAAAAGTGGATTCTGCCTCATCGTCTCTGTTTCTTTGTGAGAAATTCATCCTTTTCTTATTTTTTGTTCTTGAATACAGCTTCGAGCTGCATGTCAGAAGCCAGTCCATGAAGCTGTGAAGGGCTCACGATTCACTACGGCAACCTTGAAATAAAGCACAACAGTTTATTTATGGTCATGAGGTAGGAAGAATAGTGCATTTGCTTACCCATGTACACATAGTTGTGTGTTCTTTGCCAGTAAACCACAAACTCTAGCTCTATGAATCCTATGCAATATGTGAGTCAATGGCAGGACCATGTTATGAACTATAACACAATGAATTGCCATGTATAAATCAAAGATATTAATACGGAAGACTGACAGGAGATAAAATGAGATCGTCGGCAATGATTGAGGCTAGTGATTAGGGTTTGGAATTAGTTTAGTGACTGGCTGTAGATCAATTCATACAGTAACTAATTGACTTAACACTGCATGTGAAATTAATGGCTTCAAATATAGATAGCTCACAACCTCTGCTTAATCATCTTTCCCCCAGACCAGACACAGCTTTATTAATCAACATCTTTGCATTAAATTTTCTTTCTCAATTCAAAATTAGCTTCATTAGCATGACATCTCTGCATTATACAACAGAACCATCCTGATATAGTATCATATAGAGAGACACTCTTTGCTTTGTGAGAAATGATTGGGGTGATGAAACACGAGGTTGGCAAATGATCAATCATTAAAATGAGGAAGTCTTTTGGATCACACTCCACAGGGCCCACACACAATTCAAATTCATATGCACGTATTAATCAAGTATTACCGTGGAGACAAATACTTTGCCTTGAAGCAAATCATCAGTTAAAAAAACAACAATCATTCTTACAGGTTACTGATGTAATTAAAAAGTCACCTTCAGGACGACAAATATACCCTCCATGATTAAGCTATAATTCATTAGATCCAGTCTAATTATCTCTGAATATTGCATCATTTCATATCTTGAAAAGTGATTCAGAAACATGGGCAGTGACTTGCCTTTTTATTAGTTTGTTATTTCAGGCAACAATGAAATCTGCATACAAGGAGTAGCAGATACATCCAGTCAGATTACTGCATACACATCTTTGCTGACTTTTCACTTGTTTTTCAGTTGCTCATCAAATGACATTTGACACTTGCACATTTAAGTGCAAGAGACATTTTTTTTTTTCATTACACTGTGTGCCATCTAAAATGAGATGTATAATCAAAAAGCATAGTCTTTCCTGTCAAAAAGATGTGCTTAACACTACCAGATGGATTCGGATTCAAATTCAAAATACAAAACAAACAACACAACAACAGCATTATTGAAAACATTCAGCACACAACACACTATACGTGTACACATGGTTTAAAAATAACTCTTATCCAGCATCCCATAGCAGGATTGATGAGAACAAATGACTCTAATCTTTGCAAATAACATCTTCTTCTTGATTTGTTTTCAGCAAAGTGGAAAACACAGCAGTACCAAATTCAATCAGCAGTATTATTATCTTTCTTTCATGAATTTGTGAAGATTTCAGCAATAGCAGGCTGCCTGATCAAAATTCAATGCATCCTTCTTTTGCTTTCCATTTCATCGAGCTTGGTTACTTTCCACAGTTGACTGGTGCAGCATAATTGTTGGGTAACATGCCGATCTGTCCGTTGCACAATCTTTTCCACCGGTTGGCATCAAACTGTTCCAGGACCTGAATGATATCTCCCACTTAATGCTCAGCTCGCCATCTTCCTAAGCCTCAAAGTCAAGCAGCGCCTTGATGCGCATACAAATGAAATAAGAATTACACATTCAAATATGAGTAGATCTAAATAATGTATAAATAAGACAAGTTTTTTTTCTTTCTGTTGGCACATATTCCTTTTTAAATGTCCAAAGATCTTTATCTTTCTCTGATTAAGTTTTAGAGAGAAAAATCTATGATGAATGAATAATTCTCAAAATCCCCTCTGGATTATCCATTTCTTTATTAACTTAAAATGTTGTTGGAAAAAAATTAAAACCTGTTAAGCCCTGGAGCCCTCCAACGTTTTTTTTCGAGAGTGTCTCAGGGCTTCTTAACATTTATGAAACTATTAATGTTGTGGTGGCTGTCCATTTCCAGCCGCCTCCTTGGGGATGTTTTCCCTTTGCCTGTTGTGTGGGCGTGGTGGCTGTCACTCTGGCTCCCGGCTCACCTGCTGCAATCAGCTGTTCACCCTCACACCTGATTCTCATCAGCCATCTACAACGGCATATCAGCAGAGGCTCCACAACCTGTCGGCGCCAGATCGTTGTTAAACNTAATTGTCTTTGATTTATCGCCCCTGCTTTAGTTTGAAAACATCCACATCAAGAGGGGGTGCATGCTGCGAAGCATCGCGATCTACCTCAACGAGGATCCAGACTCTTTTTTTAAGGAGTATCAGGTATGTTTATCACAATATGTTTTCAATGTAGTGGTTAACAGTGTTACCCACAATTATAACCACCATTACTTACATTTGGATCCTCGTTGAGGTAGATCGCGATGCTTCGCAGCATGCACCCCCTCTTGATGTGGATGTTTTCAAACTAAAGCAGGGGCGATAAATCAAAGACAATTAAGCACAATGCATGTGCAACAGAGCAAGTAGTCTACAAAGTAGAGGGCAGTATCTGTTGTGTGTGTCCCTAAGCAGGACACCTTACCCCTACATTTCCACAATAAGCTATTGCCTTAAAAACACTATAAAAGCAGACAATTTCTTAAATGTGTTCATATGAGCATGGACAAAAACAATACAGTGAAAAACGATGTTCTATGCATTTATACTAACCAAATCTGATATTGCAAGGGCTTCCTTGATTTTGTGCCCCTTCAGTCCTCCTTTGGTCTTGAAGATCTTCAAGAGCTTGTCTGAGAAGTGGTCCAGCTGCCACATGAACTTTGATTGAAGTGGTGATGTTGTGATCCTCAAAAACAGATCAGCTTGTGCAAGTATTGTGAAAGTAGCCGTGTACTAACCAAAAATAAGAGGTTGCCCCAAGGTGCTTGTTAATGCTGATCAAACTGCAAAAGACAACATATATTAGAGGTGTGATTAAAATGCTTATATATTTGAATTTTCACAGACAACACATAATTGCCTAAGATTGCACAACCCAAAAAAAAAACGATAACAGATCACACTTTAAAATTAAGAGTCTAGTAGACATTTTTTATAAAGCAACAGTTAAATTGCGTATAATGGACATATATTGATAAAGCATATCAAATTATTATTACTTAATGATTTAAATAAAACATGAATATTTGTTTTTGTTGAACAGTTGCATAGGGCATTCAAATAAATGTTACCATTAACTAGCTAGCAATTTTATTTTTTGTTAGAGATGAGGGCTGATATTGTGATTGAAAAACTCAACTCAACAGAACTCCTAGAGAAACGAGTGGCTCCGCCTGTCCTCCTCTGCCTGCCTGCACTAAGGCCAGGAGAGAGATGGACAGACCTTCTGAGCTTTATGATAGAAAATGGCAGCCCTTGCTGGGCTGCATCATGCAGGCTCTTTCTCCTATACTGTTACCTCATTCACTTGAATTACTCTTTGCATTTATTGGTTGAATTTAAACTTAATTTCGGTGTACTGTGTTCAATGACAATAACGTTAAATCTAATGTAATATAATCTAATGATCTCCATTATCCAGTATTCAATGCTAACCATATATAGCAAGCTAGCTAACAAACCAGTTATCTGGCTAGCTAGCTTGCTGCTTTACCTCATACACTTTAAATACTCTTAGCATTTTTTGGTTGAATTTAAACTGAATTTCGGTGTACTGTGTTCAATGACAATAACGTTAAATCTAATGTAATATAATCTAATGATCTCTACTATCCAGTATTCAATGCTAACCATATCTAGCAAGCTGGCTAGCTTGCTGTTTAGACCCAACTAAAAACGGAGCAAAATATAACACGCTGGTTTCAAATATTCTTGTCAATATTATGAAAAGGCATTACTTGGAAACAGGGAACATTCTAAACTACTAGAAAAAACAAATACTTACCAAATAATAGACTTTCCACCGTCAGTTTCCCCAGTCAGTTTCCAGTCAGTGTCAGACAAAAGGCTTAAATACATTTAATAAGTGAATTGATTAATGTAATTTGTGTTACACTAATGAACTATTCTTAGGTTTATTTCTTAAATAAAAATATTTAAGTAAAGTGAAACAATCTTTAATGTGTCAAGTCTAAGAAGGGCTTGAATCATTTTTTTTAGAGTCCTAATGAGAAAAAAGTATTTAGACGTTGAAATCAAACACAAAAGAAACGATAATTTATGAAGCAGTTTGGTAAAATGTATTTCCAATGTGCATGTTATTGTGTGTTTGTGAAAAGAAGAATATGATATTGTCGTAAAAAAATGTTTTATTATTAACCTGAACGAAATTATTGCAATTACTTAGCAAGCAGTATCAGCAGACCCCATTTGTCCGACGGGACATGAAGGCAGCGCGAGTCACGCGTTGTTTGCCTCACAGAGAGCAAACATGGCGGAAGATGGAGAATCGCTGGAGTCCTGGCTTAGTAAGTACACTGTTTAACTCTTATGTAATCTCGTTTATTTACATAGAGATATGCACTCATGTACTGTGCTGCCGCTGGTGTCCGACACAGTAGTTTGACTCGCATGACATCGCTGAAACTCAAGAGTATCGTGCTAATTCGTCTGTGTTGTCAGAAAGTGGCTAACACACTGCTGGTAGTACCTTATGGATGTAGCTAGCCAAACTCAGCTTGGATGTTTGCTTTATACTGCTGGATTTGTAGTCGGTATGTTGTAATGCTGGCACAAATTAAGTTATTATGCTGGTGACCCACACACGGCTTTGCATTTGCTTACGTAGGGCTGTTGTAAACACCTCCAGGCTTTAGCTTATCTAAGTGCAAACAAGTCTTTCAACAATGTATGTAAGAATACCAGGACACGATGGATAAAAAACAGTCTGGGTTGCTTATTGAGCGAGTTTAATTTTTTTATCACAAAGCTCCAGTTTGTGTTGTGAACCTGTAGATAGATACACGTATTGCTAATGTACTGTAAGAGCATGAGAGATCATATTATTTTATTTTTTCCCCAGATAAAGCCACCGGCCCTTCCAACAGACAGGAAGACTGGGAGTTTATAATGGGATTCTGTGACCAAATCAATAAGGAACTGGAAGGGTATGGTCATTAACCAATCACAATCTCCCCCCTAACGTGGAGTCACGTCCATCTAATGTTGCTAATCTGTGTTAGCAACAGTTAGTGCAGACTTTAAGTGGTTTGTATTAATGAGTTTTTGTTCTTCATTTTATAGCCCTCAAATATCCGTTAGACTGCTGGCTCACAAGATTCAGTCGCCTCAGGAATGGGAGGCGATTCAAGCATTAACGGTCTGTAGTAAAATAACTTCACTTGAATTAAAAAACAAACTCTTCATAGTGGAAAAAATATATTTATCTCTGGTTGTTTTGCTTGTCTAGGTTCTCGAGGCTTGTATGAAAAACTGCGGGAGACGTTTTCACAATGAAGTTGGGAAATTTAGATTTTTAAATGAATTAATTAAGGTGGTTTCACCCAAAGTAAGTATCATAGATGTCAATGTAATGGTGATAGGTTTTCTTGAACTGAGGTTTGGTGTCATTCTAAAGCTGTGAATTTATCCTTTTTCAGTATCTAGGAGATAAAGTATCGGAGAGAGTGAAGACAAAAGTGATCGAGATGCTGTACAGTTGGACCCTGTCTCTACCAGATGAAACAAAGGTCTTTGAAGCGTATGAAATGCTGAAGTCACAGGGTGAGACTCTTTTTAAATTGTTAAAATATGCTGGTGAGGATTTGGATTGCATAACAGTGACATCCAAAAATAATACACCCTGCTTTGATATTTCGAAAACTGTCATTTGTAGTGTAAAGTATGTGTTTGTTGTCATGTTTATTTTAGGTATTGTCTTAACTGACCCAGAAATCCCTCTCGATGCTACATTAATACCGTCTCCTTCTCCGCGACCCAAGAATCCTGTGTTTGATGACGAGACGAAGAGCAAGGTAAAAGTTATTATTTTGGGATGTGATCACTGTTCATGACTCTCTTCTGTTTTATCTATGTTATAGATGCATAGTGTTAATGCAGTGTTTATTGGCCCAGTGTAGATAATGTTCCTCTGTAGTTGAAGGTTCAATGCGCATGCGTATTTTATGAGAACTGTTATCCTTAAAAAAAATTCGTAATCTACCAGCAAACTTTCATAGCGATATACTTTCATGTTTTATGAGAGTTGTTATGCCAGGATTTTCTCACAAAATGCTGTCCACTAAGAGGCTTTAAAGGATCAAAAGTTGTGTCTTTATTGACTTCTATAGCTTGTTTTATTACTTATTGAAGATTGTGGCTTTCCACAGAAAAAAAAGATTCATCATATTTAATGTGTGTACACAACACTAAAAACAGCTCATGTTTTTCTTATTGCTCTAATACCTCACTGGTTACGTCACAGCGAAACAGGTCACGACTGAATGTTGACTGCAGTTGATTTATGAGTTAATTTTGTTTTTTCAGATCTGAGAGGTTGTATGGCTTTGCTGTTCGTATCTGGACAAACTGTGGGAAATGAGTTTTGAGGGTTTTTTTCTCTGCAGAGATTAGCTGAGCTGCTGAAGAGCAAAAAACCTGAGGATCTGCAAGAGGCCAATCGGCTCATCAAGAACATGGTTAAGGAGGTGTGTCAGTGTCAAATGATTGATGATGATGATGATGATGGTTAAAAATGGCTGTTTTTAATTCATTTTCTGAGGCTTTCTTATGGAAAAGTTGGAATCTAATGTCAGACACATTTAATTTAATGAGTGCTATTAACAAGTGCACCTCAATTTTGCTCCTTTCCCCAGGACGAAGTCAGAACACAGAAAGTGACGAAGCAGAAAGGCACACTGGAGGCCGTAAATACCAGCGTCAAACTCCTTAACGAGATGCTCGCTCACTTCAGCCCGAACGACTCCACGGACGGAGACAAGGAGCTCATTAGGGTTTGTTCAAAAATGACCTTTTAGAAACATGTAAAAACTTGGCTGTGCAGCCCGAAAGGAGTCCAAAAGCATTTAGTGCTACTACATTTAAACTTGCAGCAGTAAATGAAAACGGCATCATTCTGAGACTCTTCATTAAAAGCGGGTAGGTAAAATTGAAGAAGTCAGCAAAAATAAGCTTTTTTTAATTATCTAACCAAAGCCCAGCCTAGTGTTGTCAAGTCTTCCATTAAAAGTAGCTGGCAGCATTAGGTGCAAAAGTTGCTTAATCTAGTGTAATAGTTCATTAAAATATCATTCAGGCCCAAGACATGATTGGAATCACATGGACAGTGTGGTGCCAGAGCTACCATATTGTTCACTTCTTTTTTTATATTGATTGCTGTCGGTATGTTAAAAGTGATTTAACAGATAAAAACATTAAATAAATTAATATTAACCAACCTAGCTTGAATTGCCAGGTTTGTTTAAGAATGATTCAAGTGAATACATGTAAAATATAAAGCAAACTGCCCTAAGTAATTACAAATATATAATACATTTTCATAGTAAATAATAACACTAAATAAAGTCTTAGTTGACATATTTTATTTATGAGAAACACTTCTCTTTTCATATCCTAAAACACAGCAGTTTCTGAAATGAGATTCAAGTTATGAATATACTGTGATTTCTAATTCTCTCCTAGGAGCTGTATGGTGATTGTGACAAGCTCAGGCAAACCGTGTTTCAGCTTGCTACTGAGACGGAAGATAATGACAGCAGCTTGGGTAAGAAATCCTGTAATTTTGCCCGTAGAGCAGGGGTGGGAACCTTTTTCCTCTCAAAGGCCATTTCAATTTTTTCAACATCCTCCGAGGGCCGTACAAATGATTGACCTCTGCTTAAAAATACTAAAATCACAGCCCATTCATTTGGCCTTTCTTTCATGCTGTGCAAAGAAAAAGCAACCTCTTAATCCAGATATCTTACCATGACTCGTGCACGGTTGTGGCATGACCACCACAACAGAAAGATATGGACACAAGATGTGTGCAAATGTGTTCAGGGGCATGCTCCCCCGGGAAGAATTTTTTTTTAAATGTTGAAGTTAAAAGCATGAATCTGGTGCACTTTGAGAGCAAAATGAATAGATCTATGGACACATCTCTCAACACCCATATGAAACAGAACTGTAAGCAGATTTTCTTTTTCTTTATGGATATTTTACAAATCACTCCCCTTTTAAACTGTATTCTTGTTTATTAATAACATCTTTTTTTTACTGTCATATAGTATTTTATACCTGTTTACTTTATTATCTTATTTTTTTAGAACTATAATGATCATATAAAGATGTGCCTCTACCTCACTGGATGGAGAAAAAGCTTCTTATATTCGTTAGCTAACCAGATGCTAATAACAACAAAGTTATTGACTGTATGATCAGTATGACAGATGAACAGATCGCCACTGGGTTTACAACTAAAGACACAGCCACGCAAAAACGGCGGCATGTGTACGGCTCCTTATGGGTACTG